GGCTCTGCTCAGAAGTTTTGAGAAGCTAAGGAAGAGAGGAACTGCAGGGCAACGCAAGCCATTTCTGTGATACATAGTTCCTTTGCCTTTGGTGTGACGTTGCTGTGTGTTTCCCCTCAAATCAGGAAAAAGAGTCTGTCTTGAACAACCTCGCCAAAAAAGCCAAACTGACAGAAGACATGTTCAATCAAGTACCGGGGATCCACTGCAACCCTCTTCAGGGGGCTATGTATGCTTTCCCACGAATCTTCATCCCTTCCAAGGCCATCGAGGCAGCAAAGGTGAGACTTCTCCCCAACCACTGCTATTACTTTTGCTGCAGCTGTACACTTGTTGCCATTCCAGTTTTGGAGGAGCCATTCTCCAGGCCAGGGGAGCTTTGATGCTTTTCTGGAGCTGCTGTACTGGTTTGGGGAGACATCAGTACTTTTTTTACAGGAGCTAAATTGAATTTTCCTGAAGCTCCATTACTCAACAGGGGTGGCGTGTCCTGGATTTGCAGGATCTCATCTTGGGCCATCTGTAGCACACTAGTATGATTATATTCCTACCCTTCGATATTGGTCCTTTGACAATCAATAATAATGTTTATGGAAACATTGTGGTGAACACACCACCCGTCTGGTTCATGTCTGTCAAACAGCTGTTAAAGAAACACAGGGACAAGTTGACAGTCCCTGGTGTGACCAACTTTAGCTTTGCCAGATAGATGAACAGATAAAAGTATTTGGAAGCATCCTTTTTTATAATGAAAGGAACGTAACTGCTCAATAGACTAGGTGGCTGCTGAGGTTTCTTGTAGCTCTATGATTCCATGAAAATGGGACTTGCTATTCACTCTCTAGTTTCTAATTATTACATCGTTTTTATTTCTGCAGGTTCATAAAATGGCTCCCGACATGTTCTACTGTATGAAACTTCTGGAGGAAACAGGGATCTGTGTTGTTCCTGGAAGTGGCTTTGGCCAAAGAGAAGGCACTTACCACTTTAGGTACAGGGTTGACAAAGCATGCTGCAGTGTTAGCAACTAAATTTTCTTTCTTTTTGATGACATGGTCTCCATGCTTCTAAAAGTCATTTTATAATACTTTTTTTCCTCCTGTTTCCCCAGGATGACCATTCTCCCTCCGGTAGAGAAGCTAAAGATCTTGCTGGAGAAAGTGAAAGACTTCCACATAAAGTTTCTCAAAGAGTACTCTTAAGCAAAATTAAGACTCTCTTCTGCTCTCGCTCTCTCTTTCCAGAGTAAATCTGGGAAATCCAAACAAAGCTGTGAGGGGAAAATGTTCTTTGTCTTCTTTTAATCAATCAAATCCACACTAGAACGGCTAGAGCCCAGCTATGAAATTTGTGTACCTCCAGCCTGAGTGTGTCCTGTTGCTTTAATTTCATGGAAAGAAATGGAAATAAGGGCAAGAATTGGGGGGCAGGGGAAAGAGTGCCTTGACTCAATTTTTATTTCTTAGCTTGTGTGGCTGGCTGGTCTGATGGGAAAAAAAAGATAGTAATAGTTCCAATAATTCTCATCGAGAATTTCCCTATTTCGAAACAGCAACCCTACAAAATTTACCTTTGGTCTTAAATATGAAAGCAAAATTTAACTAAGCTGGCAATTGAGTGTCAATAAACACCCTGCTATAGAATTTTTTAAAAATCCCTTACTTTGTGTATTTTAACAAGGCATCCCCTTCTATCTTCCATATTTTAAAAGCTGCATGCTTCCAGTAAATTGGGTATAATATGGTTCGTGTAAACTGTTGTGCGGTTCTCCTTGGCCTAAGCAAGGCTGCAACAGATACATTTTGTGGTGGATGTCCTGTTCAGACTCAACATTTGAGCACTATGCCATGCTGTGGGCATTAGTTATGTCATTCCTTTCTGTTTCAGGATTTAAGAAATGCCCCAAATTTATTCTCTGAGAACCTAGTGAACCCAGACTAGACTGCCCCAGCATGTGAACTGATGCCAGTTATGGTCTTTGCATGGAAAAGAATCACAAGTATGAGCTAAATAAATAAAATTGAGAGCCTATAAGAGGGAGGCGTGGAACTGCTATAATCAGGACACAGAACTATCCTCCTTTCATTTGGCTAGGTGCTGCTTTAGAATGTAGATATTGAGTAAATTAGCTAAGCAAAGGAGACGCTTCTTAGCTATAAATTGGAATGCACCTCAGCATGGTAGCAAATAAATACAAGATGCCGATACCAGAGGGAGCATTTTCCTATGTGCGAAATGATCTGCCAATTTTGTTCAACAACATACTCTGCAAAAAAGAAGCATATTTTGATCACTGACCGATAATAATAAGGTCCAACGTTGAAGGAATGTGGAAATGTCACAGTGAGAAAGGGTCCAATCTGGTAGTATAATCTTGCCTAAATATTCAGTCCCCTCTCAGGGCTGCTATTTCAACCTGAACAGGCAACTGGAAGTTCTGTGAAAATTGCTATCCCATGGCTGTTTCTTTTGTTTCTAGCCTCAGAAAGACAGGCATTTTCTCCAAGGTATGTCACACGGGCTGAGTTTCCCTTCTAAGAAGTAGAAGTGAAAATGAGATTGCAAGAATGCCAGTAGGCTATTTAGCATGGCTATCCAGAGTGGAGTGGACTGCCTGACTGCTACTATCGCCCAGGTTCATGACACTTTGCTCTCCTACAGTAGATCTAAGAGTCTCCCGTGTTGGTCCAACTGGGCTTCATTTTACGATACAGTGTGAAAGTACCATTTCCTCCCCCATTAATCCATCTCAGTCTTGTACATAAATAGGGGTGCCAATTTCAATATTGGGGGAGCAGGTAAGCCCTGCCACACATAATCACACGATGCAGCGCATGCACATGGTTTGAATGGCAATGCCTAGCAACTTGTGGGGTGGGCTGGCCCCCTCAAATATTTTATTGTGGGGGAGCAAAGGCCCCTTGGCCCCTAGGAGTTGGCTCCTGTGTACATAAACCTGGCTTAACTTTTTTGGGGACTGCTGCTGTTGCTGACCCAAGTTTCCAGAATGGTCCAAGTGAACAAAGCAATTACGACTGCAGATTACCCTGCGTACTTGACTATATTGCTGAGTTGAATTCCAGAGGGGCAAACAATTGTGTCTTATGGCTGGCATTAATTCTAAATGGACACATTGCCATCCCAGAGCAGCAGAAACGTACTTTCTGCATTTTTGTCCCCTTAAACCTACCATTTTACTGAGAAGGATGGGGATATCGGAATGCTGAATGAACAGAACACTCAGCTTGCTGGCGCAACTGCTTGGCACGGTTTCCTAAGCATTGATTATGTGAACTACTGAAAACTAGCATGTTTCACTCTTGGAACACTGCAGTTTAAACAAAAAAAGGAATTGCACTTTCCCTCCCTGAAATCTGGCTTTGGGCTCACTGCTTGGGAAGGGCCGTCATTGAACATACAGTGCAAGAGAATTCTGTGCGCTACTCGTGATTACTATATATTTTTATATACTTTTGTAAGTTTTATTCCCCCATTGGGTTTGGGAAGGGTGGGAGGGAAGGGTAGTATTTGTAGTCTTAACAAGCCAGTGGGTTTTCTATTTACCTTGTGTTTACACCCAGTGTTCCTGAAAATGATGCAAGGTTTACATGTTTCTAAATAACTCTTTTTGCAGGGATGTTTTAAAAGGTTTGCTTTTTCCTCCCACACCTGTTGCTTCCTGCCTTTATAAAAATGGGAGCAGGAGTCCTTAGAGGTTTAGTTATTAAATCAAGGATGCTGACCTACCTTCCTTTGTGTTTTCTAAACACTGTTACGGTGCCTTTTGATTTCTGGTACGCCGAGGGAGAAAGAATGGGTTTGTTGTTGTTTTTCCTGCATCTTTTGAGAAATGGTACGATCCTTCCACAGTTGATTTGACACATTTGTAAGTACTGTGATGAGCTGCTAAAATTGAACTTGGTTGTCCTGGAGGCAAGGCGGTCATCCTTGGAATTTATTCCAGAGTGGACCTCAGTGGATGCAATTCCCAAATAAACGGTTTAGAGATTGCAGGTGGAGAATGTTACTACACTGAGTTTTTGTTCTCTCTTTTTAAAAAATGTACGCCCTTAATGAGTAAGGCAATATCTAAACATTGTGATGCATGCTCGTAGGTTCACATTTCCTACAGGTGCTCCTCATGCTGTTCTTGGGATGACTTTTTAAACGTACCTACAACTTCGAAAAATTAAATAAAATAATGGTTGGAAACTGTGTTGTCATGGTGCTTTCTATATTTTAATGAGTTTTCTAGAAGCCTTCTTTCTCACATCTGACACTTAGGAACATAAGAAGCTGGCATATATAGAGTTAGAGAGTTGGTCTGATGCAGCAAGGCTCTTATATAGGAGGTTAAAATCTGCCACAGGTGTTTTTTTTTAAAGCAACACAGCCCACTAGGATGCAAGGGAGAAAACGAGCAAAAATGGCCACCTAGATTTCCAAGCACCTTTCTGTCTCAGTCATTAGGCCAACAAAACTCTTGTAAAAAAATTAGACACTGACAAAACTACCCCAGGGTTGTGACCCTAAGCAGAGTTATTCTTGAGTAAACCCAACTGAATACAGCCATTTGTTCACATGCAACAAAATCTACTCACTCCATGCCTTTTAACAACTGAAATTCAGCAGGTGAAATCTATCACTGCACCACCATGCTGAGATATATAGGAAAAAGACATTAACGGAGGAAAACTAATTCAGGAATTGAGGCTCCCACTTTTTTTTAAGCCAAGTCTGTTGTGAAAACACCCCTTCTTTCAATAAACTGGGAGAGCTAAATGCACCCACAAAGGAACAGCCCCATGCAGCTGATTCCTCCATCCCCAGGGCTAGTTTTGGCTTCTTCAGGGAAAGAGCGTGCCTTGCACCTGCAATCAGCGCCCCCCCCCCCTTCTCCAGGGTCCTAAGTGGGCGTGCCCACAGCCAGGGCGGGGAACTGCAATAAATCCACACAGAGAGAGATGCTTCCTCCTTTCTGGGCTTTCCCGATTTGTGAGCTGGGAGCGAGACATGGCGCTAAGGAAACACCTGAACGAGGCGAAGAAGCGCAGCGCGGACTCCGGCGTGGAGTCGGATCGGAGCCTCTTGAGCAAGGAGCAGAGGGACCAGCGCATCAGTCTCTTTCTGCGGGATTTCCAGCACCAGGGTGAGGCCTCGGGATGGGGCGGGCAAAACGGGTGGGCTGAGTGAGCAAATGTGAGCCAGCCTGGCGTAGCGGTAAGAGCCGCCTTTCTCAACCTTGGGCTACAACTCCCATCATCCCTAGCTAGCAGGGCCAGTGGTCAGGGGTGATGGGAGTTGTAGTCCAACAACATCTGGGGACCTAAGGTTGAGAAAGGGTGCTGGGGCAGGACCTGGGAAACACCAGGGTTCAAAGCCCTGCTCAATCACTGCCGTTCAACCTAACCTACCTTGCAGGGATGTTTGGGGATTAAGTGAGGAGGAGAACCATGTATAAGCCACCTTGAGGTCCATGGAGGAAAAGGTGGTGCATAAATAAATGAATCTTGGAGAAGTGGAGTGAAAAGCAAGGAGTGGGGCTTAGAAGAATAGAATCATAGAACTGTAGACTTGAAAGGGACCTCCAAGGGTCATCTAGTCCAAACCCCTGCAATGCATGAGTCTCAAGGCTCAGTCCGCCATCCATACCATTCTGGACCTTGCTTAGCTTTGCAAATGTGCTAGCACTTTTGTCCCCCAAAGGACAGAAATGCCTCAGTTCTAGCTGCTTCACTTGATTATTGATTTCAGGGTCTTGCAGTGCTGTGTTTCTGCCAAGGGCCATATTGTCCAGTGGTTAGAGCATCTTTGTTGCTGCAGAATGTCCCTGGTCGGCATATGGAGGTAGACCTGGGGGAGAGAACACAGCCTGGAGAGCTGCTGCCAGTCAGTGTAGACAATACTGAGGTAGATAGACGAATGGACTGATTCAGCATAAGGCATCTTCCTCCATCTTTCTCCCTTTCTCCAAGCAAAGGAAAACCTGCGAGATTTGAAGAAAGAGCTGGCTTCACTTCTGCAGACAGCTGAGAAGGCATTCCAGGTGGAGCTGTTGGCCATGCCGGTGGTCATGAGAAAAATGAGGAGGGAGGACTTGATTGGTGAGGCTGCTATCCCAACCCCACTTACCTGCTGGGAGTAAGACTTGTTGAATTCAGACAGATATACTTCTGAGTAGACGTGGTTAGAATTGTGTTGAGTGAATTATCATGTAGGTAGGTGCTTGTGACTTTGCTCAGCCACTTTCTCAATGGGGCTTGCTCCCAACTAAGTCCCCATCTGTACTATACAGTTAAAGCAGTATCACACCACTTTAGATAGTCAGGGCTTCCTCTAAAGAACTCTGGGAACTATGGTTGGCTTAGGCTGCTCAGAGTGGGTAAAAGGTAAAGGTACCCCTGCCTGTACGGGCCTGTCGTGTCCGACTCTAGGGTTGTGCACTCATCTCACTTAAGAGGCCGGGAGCCAGCACTGTCCAGAGACACTTCCAGGTCACATGGCCAGCGTGACGAAGCTGCTCTGGCGAGCCAGCACCAGCGCAGCACACGGAAACGCCGTTTACCTTCCCGCTATAAAGCGGTACCTATTTATCTACTTGCACTTAGGGGTGCTTTCGAACTGCTAGGTGGGCAGGAGCTGGGACCGAAGGACGGGAGCTCACCCCGCCGCGGGGATTCGAACCGCCGACCATGCGATCGGCAAGTCCTAGGCACTGAGGTTTTACCCACAGCGCCACCCATGTCCCTCAGAGTGGGTAGGAGATGCTTATTTCCCTACAATTCCCAGAGTTCCCTTGGAAGAAGGATGGACTGTTAAACCACTCTAAAATAGTAAAGGTAAAGGGACCCCTGACCATTAGGTCCAGTCGTGGCCGACTCTGGGGTTGCGGCGCTCATCTCGTTTTATTGGCCAAGGGAGCCGGCATACAGCTTCCGGGTCATGTGGCCAGCATGACTAAGACGCTTCTGGTGAACCAGAGCAGTGCACGGAAATGCCGTTTACCTTCCCGCCGAAGCGGTACCTATTTATCTACTTGCACTTTGACGTACTTTCGAACTGCTAGGTTGGCAGGAGCAGGGACCCAGCAACGGGAGCTCACCCCATTGCGGGGATTCGAACCACCGACCTTCTGATCGGCAAGTCCTAGGCTCTGTGGTTTACCTACAATTCCCAGAGTTCCCTTGGAAGAAGGATGGACTGTTAAACCACTCTAAAATAGGTAGCCGCTAATGTCAATTTTACCTTTGCACAGTAGGCTAGTTTCTGCAGACACTCACACACCCATCTCTGCCCTCCACCCAGGCAAGCAGGAAGCACGATCAGAGTACAAGGAGGGTGCAAAGCAAGGGCAGTGAGGGCTGTGTGGCCTAGGGAGACTCCTGAGTGCCAGGGATAGAGACCTGGAAGGCTGCATTTGGCCCCATCATCTAATATATATTTTGAAAAGTGGTTTCTTGGTTTGTTTGTTGTGCATTCGGACACTCAACCAAATTTTGCATGATAGATCCTGAGATCAAGGAGCCCAGCTTCGGCTGGGGAGGGTGGGATATAAATAAAATTTATTATTATTATTATTATTATTATTATTATTATTATTAATGTTTGGATAAGATTGCTTGCCATTATGAATCGTGACTGAGCCTTTATAACCACACAGATTTTAACTGCTGAATTCACAACTACACAGTTTTTTGGTTACTTAAGACTTCCTGTGCAAAGTCAGGTACAAGCCTGTTAATAAAACATAAGAAGAATGTGCTGGACCAGGCCAGTGGCCCATCGAGTCCAAAATCCTGTTCTCACAGTCAGGGCTGTCTTAAGCATATGCGGCGCCGGGGTGCAGAGATCCGCCCGGTGCCCCCCCCCCCGATTGCCCAGTCCCAGGCACGCAGGAGGGCAGAGCCAGCCGGCCGCCTCAGAGTCTCACTGACTCAGTCGCCCCCGAACTCGTGGCACAGAGCCACCTGCAACAGAATAGCCCGTTGCGGCGCTCTTACTTCCCTGGACACAACTCTTGGGCCCCGGACTCTCTGCCTGGTGCCCCTGAGAGTGCCTATGGGTAAGCCGGCCCTGCTCACAGTGGCCAACCAAAAGCCTAAAGCCCAAAAGCAAGCCCCAGGTGCAATTGCATTCTTCCCCTGTGCAATTGCATTCTTCTCAACAGTGCTCCCCAGCAGCTATATTCAGAGGCATAATGCCCCTGATACTGGAAGCAATATAAAGTCATTTTCTTGTACCTGTTGATGGCCCCTCTCCTCCATGAATTTGTCTAACTCCTTTGTAAAGCCAACTTAGTTGGTGGTCATCAACAAACACCATATCTTAACTATGTGCAGTTTTAATACCTTCCTTTCCCCCTTCCCACTTCTTAGTACTTTTTCATGCAGCGCATTGTTAAACTGGGGGACTCCCTCCCACAGGATGGCCACCAACTTAGATTAGGCAGATTTGTACAACTTTTCGCTGCTTCCATGGTCAGAAGCATTAATGCTTCCTTATACTGGAAACTGCAGGACGGAAGAGTGCTCTTGGGCTCGGGTCCTGCTTATGGGCATCTGGTTGGCTGCTGTGAGAACAGAACTAGATGGGCCATTGGCCTGATCCAGCAGGCTCTTATTGTGCTCATATTTTGCTCCAACCTTTATTTTATAAAGAATGTGTGGTTGTCTGCCAACTGTCTGCCTTGGTATAATTGCCTGTCTCCGTACCACAGATCTTAAGGAAGAAGAAGCTGCCGCTGCCACAGTCATCGCCACTGCCATGGCAGTAAGTATGGCCAAGTAACACGGAAATGCTTTTTTTAATAAAAACAGTAATAGATCTTGAGCAATGCTGCTCTCAGGTTGGGGCAGATTGGGGCAACTGCCCCAAAGCCTACAGTAGTGCAAAGTATTGCACTGCCCCCACTCCTCCTCCTTTTGTCTACCCATTAATAAAAGGGATTCCTTTCTCAGAGCAAGGTATTCTGCGTGATCTGACCCAGGAGAATGCAGGTGCCAGATCTGTGTCACCTTACCAGAATGCCTTACTTCGTAGGTATAAGCCAGGCATGTCCAAAGTCCAGGCATGCCTACCAGTCATTTTAATCTGGCCCCTGTGGCAGTTTATTTCCTGGGGTAAAATTCTAAAAAAACCTGAACAAACTTCAATTCTAAAAAAACCCTCAACAACTTCAAACTTCAGCCCTAAAAAAAAAGCTCAACAAGTTCAACCCAAAAAAAAGGTCATGGCCCCTCACTTCATCAAATCTGGCCCTCATTGAAAAAAGTTTGGACACCACTGGAAGCGGTGAGAAAGCAGTTTTAAATGGTGGGTGGGAGAGGCAGATTGGAGTAGAAGCCAGCCCTATTTGTCAAAGCTCTGGCAAGCTCTGGGTGGCCTCTGATATTTGTCCCAGGTCCTTTGGGGAATAAAACTGCTAGCACATTTGCAAAGCTAAGCAAGGTCCAGAATGGTTTCAAAGTGGATGGTGGGGGGGCTGAGTGTTGATTTCTGCACTGCAGAGAGTTGAATTAGATGCCTCCTCCCCCCCCCCCCGGATCCCTTCCAACTCTACAGTTCTATGATTCTAAGTAGATCATTGATAGAACATCTGCTTTGCATGCAGAAGGTCCCAGATTCAATTCCTGGCATCTCTCAGTAGGGCTGGGAAATATCTCCTGCCTGGTATCTTGGAGAACTGCTGTCAGTCAGTGTAGACAATACTGAGATAAATGGACCATTGGTTTGTCTCAGTATAAGTCAACTTCCCATGGGATGATGACCCTGATCCAGAGGGAAGTTTTTTCATAGGTGATTTCCACATGCCCCAGTCACCTGCCTCTTCTGACATTCATCCATGTGTCCAACTCTTTGGATCCAGCAACCAAACCCACAACAGAGATTCTGGCCTGATAATACCACCTCTTTCTCCCTCCTGTCCACAGAAGGATTGCTGCGCAGCAGATATGCCAACTCCCAGACTAGTGAGGACCAACAGCAAACGAGGTAAGCTGACCTTTCCAAGCTTAACAGTTCTTGGAGGGAGGGTTGCCCAGTTTCACGCAAGGGAGATCGCTGCTGCTGCTGCTGCTGCTTCTCAGTCCCTCTACAGCTGTGCCAAACCATGGTTTGGCTTAGCATATCTTCCAGATCAGGGCTTGTGGTTTATCTAACTACAGTAGTAGTAGCCAAGGTTTGTTTGGAGCAAAATAAACCCAGGAACCTGGATGTGGAGGATATGCTGAGCCAAACCACAGCTTAGCTCTCGGATGGAGTAGCAGAGGAGAAACAAACTGGGTGCAATCTCCTCTCTGGGAACGTGCTAAACTATGGTTTGAGAATGTTCGTGCTTGGCCAAGGTTTGACTTGCTGTTCCATGCCAAGCAGGTCAATGTTCGATGGCAGTGATGCTGTCAGGGCTGGACTTTGGAGTAGACATCTGGGGCCCAAAATGCAGAAGAGCTGGCTTACCAGTTGTTCTGGGGGGGGGGGTCATAAGAAGCCTGCTGGATCAGGCCCAACGGCCCATCTACTCCAGCCTCCTCTTCTCACAGTGGCAAACTAGATGCCTGTGGGAACAGACAAGAGCACACTTTCCCTCCTGTTGTTTCCAATAACGGGTATTCAGAAGCATTTACTGCCTCCTACCATGAAAGCAGACTATAGTCATCATGGCTAGTAGCCTTCATTGCTAGTAGCCCTCGATAGCCCCCTCCTCCATGAATTTGTCCAATCCTCTTTTAAAGCCATTCACGTTGCTTGACTTCTCTGCCTCCTGTGGGATTGAGTTCCTTAATTTAACTATGCACTGCATGAATAAGTCCTTTCTTTTATCTTCCTCTGAGAATCTTCCAACATTCAGCTTAATAGGATGTCCACGACTTCTAGTGTGATGAAAGGACACAATTTTTTTCCTTATCTGCTTTCTCCATGCCACTCATAATTTCATAAGCTTCTATCATACTATCTCTTTTACCTAAACTAATAAAAACCCCAGTGCTGCCATTTCCCCTCGCAGTCGGATCGCTCCACATCCTTTTTGAGGTGAGGTGACCAGAACAGTACATAGAATTTCAGATGTGGTCACACCATAGATTTCTGGAATGGCATTATGCTATGAGCATTTTATTTCCATGGGCCCTTGGGAGTGTTCTTTCTTCCCCATGGGACAGAAGAAGAGGAAAGTTCATGAGTGTGCAAAACCTGATGCTGTTTGTGTTGGCAAACACTCCTGGGGGGAACGGTAAACCCCCAGTACCTCCGAAAATCTCCCAGTAGGCACGTCTCTGGAATGGCATGTCCCTTCACTCCAGAGTGCCCCTCTGTGACACTTCTCATATGAAAAGTGCACACAAGTCTTCTGGCATCACACAGCAAGAAGATAGAAACATCCGTAGATCTCAACTACATTTTATTCACAATATATACAGAGAATCCATAATCACGTCTGTGTTCTCCAAACTCTGGCAGAAACAGAAAGCATACAGCAAAAACGTAAGTATAGTCCAATAACACTCTCAGACGGAAGAGATAAGACAGTCTTCCGTTCCCACACTCTTCTCAGACATCTCATGTGATTTATACTAATCACACTAGCCAGCATCGGCTTACGTAAAATCCTAACAGTTTGATCCAAGCCAAAGTATCCTGCCATAGCTTTGGAGAGACTGATGTAAGATGCATGCATAACATGTCTATAATAACCCTTGACCAAATTGCCCCTTCTAGTTAAGGTCACGACAATTGTGGAATACAAGGGAGAGGAAGAAGGGAGTGGAGCCCCGGCCAGGAAACTGTCTCGAAAGGTAAGTGGGGGAAAGTATCCCATATGTGCTCATAGCAAATTCATTCTCTTAAGTGTGGATCCTTCTGTAGCCAAAACAGTACTATCCATGCACAAGAGGGAGACATTAGGTGGCTCTGAGGAACCTGGAGGTTTGTGGATGTACCAAAAAACCAAAAAAAACCTTAGATGGGGAAACGACCTGAAGATAGCTCAACGAGGACTGAGTACGCTAAATGCACATGCAATGCTGAGTGTCCTGGGAACAAAACTGAGGTTGGGAATGGAATGGAATATCCTGGGAAAGGGCTCCGCAGTCTAGAAACCTGCATGAGAGCACTCTCACTGTTTTGTTGCAGGTCCAATATGTAAGACAGGCTACCCTTTTTTGCTGATTCAAAGCTACCCTCTTTAGCAGTGTGGCCTGGAGAGTTCTTTGTCTCTGCAACCCTGGAAATGGAATGATCCTGGTGAGGTTGAATATTCAGTGGCCCCCAAGATTGGCAAAGGGCCCATTCCCCCAAGGTTCTCTGTGCAGTCAGCATCAACAGAAGTCAGCGTGAGAATTTTGTGTGCATGGCAAGATCAGATCCCAACAGGTGCTGGGAGGGGCAGGCTCTACCTGAAATCCCTTGCCCCCCTCAATTCTGATACTAGCACCAGGGCACAAAAGTGTATATGCTGATCTTGTGCAGCATTCTGTGCGTGAGGTAGTGCATGTGAGCTGGGAAATGCTTTGTGTGACACACAGGGGTTATTTGCTGGCGGGAGGAAACAGACATACAAGTCCCACGTTATTCAACATCCCATTGCCTATAAATTTGCAAAATTAGATTGCTGTTCCAAACAGTGGAGAATCGGGTGACTTTTAGGAATGCTAAACAACTTTGATTTTTCCTTGGACTACCTTTGTGGCCTAATGCCCTGTTTTGCTGCTTAACACCCTTGCAGGCATTTAAAACAAATTCTCTGGCTTCCTTGGCTTCTGCTGTAAAGGGAAAGCAAGGGACTCCGTCCAGGTAAGAGTAACCCTATATTCTTGCTACATTGTTTTTGGTTCTTCTTGTGAGGCAGCGAAGTGCGTTGGCTTTCAAAGGAGCAGCTCTGCCTATGGCACAAGAGACCCTACGCCTATGCCATGGGTAGGCAAACTAAGGCCCAGGGGCCAGATCCGGCCCAATGGCCTTCTGAATCCAGCCCGTGGATGGTCCGGGAATCAGCCTGTTTTTACATGAGTAGAATGTGTCCTTTTATTTAAAATGCATCTCTGGGTTATTTGCGAGGCATAGGAATTTGTTCATTTCCCCCCCTTCAAAATATAGTCTGGCCCACCACATGGTCTGAGGGACAGTGGACCGGCCCCCTGCTGAAAAAGTTTGCTGACCACTGCGCCATATTTAACACCTAGTAAACTATGGTGGTGTCCAGCTAAAAATGAAGTTCAACATATTTCGATGGGGGAGGCTGCAAGCATGAAATCAATGGAGCTTTTAACTGGCTGGAAGCTGCTTCTGCTCCTTGTAAGTGATGGCTGTTGATGGCCAATGCCTTCTGTTTTAAAAAGAGGCTTCATGAAGCTGCTTATGAGAATAGTCTTAGAAAAAGCAGGTTGCTAGCCCTCATAGTTGTACTAGGAAGCTTTGAAGAAACCTCAGGCCTTGGGAACTAAATGTGGTTCTCCAGGCATCTCTGTCTGCTTGCATATTAGGTGGGTAGGACTTCTTGTCTCTGTTGCATTTCTGTGTTTTAAATCTGCTGGTAACTATTATGTGCTATTAGTTATTATTAGGGTGAGGAGCAGGTAATAAATAAGCAAATAAATAAATAATAATGATAACATCTGCTATTATTATTATTATCAGTTAGTTATTATGTGCTATTCTTATCTGCTAGTAGTTATGATCAGTGCTTTCTTTTCTAAAAAATGTTTAGGGGTACTCTTATTTTGATTCAAGATAATCACCATTTTATTGTTCAAATTGGGAAAAATAAATACAGTAAATGGACAAAAGTACAAAGATGTTTAGAGGTATGCATATTCCCAGAAAAAGCACTGGTTATTATATCTTTTAATTGGGTTTATCTTGATGTTTAAGAGAATTTTGCCCCCTAATCATTCTGTTTTTGCTTTAAAATGTGGCATTACTTTGTACTTTTGATGTTTTTATAATGTTATGAACTATCTGAGAGAAGCATGAAGTGATCTACGGACTACATGGGGAAGTCTCTGCAGCTGCAACAGCTCCACTCCTTGTGATCATTCTGTCTGCCATTTGACCTCTCCTTATAGAGAATTCTCACAGGAGCAGGCATAGGAGGAACTGCTGCTGCAACCTTAAAATCCTGTAAATGCCTCCTGTGTCCCATCAGGTCTGCAAACGCCACGCCAAATGGGAGAACCATTGAGCGATCGACCTCGATGCGGGAGCGGCCGGTGTCTGCTGCCAAGTGCATCTCGTTGGGCTCTAAAAGGCAAGCCATACTGTTTATATTGTGGGATAATCAAGACTCATACAGCCAACCTACTTAAGTCCAATGAATGCATGAAGGGGTTAGTAATACAATCAAGTAAGCTGTCCTGCCAGGTTTAGCTATGCCCCCTTTTCCTCACCTTGGGAAGAACTAGGTAATCAAGCCTTCCAGTCTTCCTGAGAAGCTCAGTGTGGGAAGAGGTTTGAGCTGGTACTTCCTTTCCTTTGTCCCAAATCTCCCAACATTCAGTTTCATTGGATATTGCTAAATTGTAATGTATTATGAGGAAGAAAAACTTATCTCTGTCCGCTTTCTATACACCGTGTGCACTTCCATGCACCTCTATCATGGCTCGTCTGACCTTTTCCTTAAAACTAACCTCCTCAAACATCGCCAAATGTCTGGACCCTCTCCTTATAGGGATCTTGTGCCATCTCCTTGATCAGTTGTTTTGCCCTTTTCTGAACCGCCTTCCCTCTCCTCCACCCCCCTTCCCCACCCCTTTCTGGTGCCTAGATTTCCACAAAGGGGTTTCTCCAAAAGTGCATCTGCCTCGGAGAGAACGCAGGCGGTGACGCTCCGGAGTATGTCGATGCCCCACGAAAGCTCACTTCCCTTTGTCAACATCCCTTTGTCTGATGGGAAGGTACTGTATCAGCCGAGGAGGGCTGTGAATCTTTGATTTGCAAATATAAATGCATCCAGGTTGAGACACACATCCAAACCCCTTTCATTGCTGCTTCCGGCTGTGGAGGCAGAGCATAGCCACCATGGCCAGGTAGCCACCAGCAGCCCTCTCTGCCACGAATTTGTCTAATCAACTTTTATAACCATCCAGTTTGGTGGCCATTGCTTCTTCCTGTGGGAGAGTGTTCCATAGTTCAACTCTGTGCTGCATGAATAAGTCCTACGCCCTGACTCTTCCAACGTTCAGCTATATTGGATAACCACGAGTTCTAGTGTTAGGAAAGAGGGAGAGGAACTTTTCTCTGCCCACTTTCTCTATGTGACACGAAGCAATAACATGCGTAATGGTGCACGCGCACGACCCATGTGGCTTGCAAACAACAACTTTCTGCTCTTGTTCAGACTCTCTGCTCGGCTGGCGATGACCTCCAGAACGTCAATGTGGAATTATTGAATGAGGACACCGTCCAGCATATCCACAGCCTTGTGGTAAGTGTGCAGAACAAATAAACCTTGGAAATGGCTCTGTCCCTGCAGGGGGGCTGGCAGGGTTCGTCATAACATCGTTGTCAGCTGTGCCAATCTGCACTGTTCCTTCTTATGTCTGAAAAATCCATGCAAGTAGTTCTCAGAAATACTTCTGTGTAAGGCATTCCTTGCATAGAATCTGGAGTTTTGGTGGTTCAGAGGGATGTTTGGAGAGCTCCATCAATTGCCCATCCTTTTTTTCTTTCCCCCCTTTCTTAGAACCAGTTGACAGTCCTTTGCGGAAAAGCAACCGTTAAGTGAAGTTGATGGACTCCATAAACAACCTTTTTTTCATTCTTGGATCTGAATATCCTTGGTTCCTTATGTTTAAATAGACAGGCTTTTTTTAAAAAGTACTATTAAACTTGTTATTTCTCTATGGAGGCTTGCTGGCATTTTTTCAGGGTGAATGGTGCTTGCTCTAAAAGAGTGCCATACACGGGCTATATGTTTGCTGTGCCCCATAGTTCAGATATAAGGAAGAAGAGGAGGAGGAGTTTGGATTTGATATCCCGCTTTATCACTACCCTAAGGAGTCTCAAAGCGGCTAACATTGTCCTTTCCCTTCCTCCCCCACAACAAACACTCTGTGAGGTGAGTGGGGCTGAGAGACTTCAGAGAAGTGTGACTGGCCCAAGGTCACCCAGCAGCTGCATGTGGAGGAGCGGGGAAGCGAACCCGGTTCACCAGATTACAACTCCACCGCTCTTAACCACTATACCACACTGGCTCTCTTGCTGCATCCATCATCTACTGGAGTGCCCTGATCCAAAGCATATTTAAGCCCAGATGTCACCAGACCAAGTTGGAGGATGTGGTGGTAGGGTACTTTCCTGTGGTCTGGTTCTACATTGTTTCAGAAATATATGACTAGCGCTTAATTTGAGACCTGGATCCTATATGGAAGCCAGTGGAGCTTCCTTCTAAAGTGTATTGTCTCCTCATCTGCTTAAAGTTCTACTTCAGTGAGGGATGGGGACCCCTGTGTGGTCCTCCAGAGACAGTTGGGACTCCAACTCCCATCAGAGCCAGCCAGCAGAGCACCATGTAAAGCTGTCAACAGCTAGAGGTACAACCTTTTGTCTGTCCCGAATCTTCCACCATTCAGCTTCATTGATGGTCACTGAATTCCAGTGTAAAGAGATGGAGACAAAAGCTTCCCTCTATCCACTTTCTCCACACATTGCATGATCTTGCATGGCTCTATTGTGTCGCCTTTAACACCAACCTTATGACATCCAGTGTTGTAGTTTGTTTTTGCACCTGGACCAGTGATCTAACTCGCAGCAAGCTCCTAGCTAACAGCAGATGCCGTGTTGCTCCCTGCATTAAGTTAAGGCTGTCTAAAAACAGTCTGGCTGAACTATAATGGCTGGAGAAATATTCCAGCAGTGTAGCCTGGATGGTTTCCAAGAACCTAATGGAAGTTTTGCAGCAGGGATATTTCCATGTTAAGTCCTGCTTTTAGAATAGGATTTTACTGCTTGTAGTCCTAGGTCTCTTGCAACTAAGTCAGTGCTGTGGCTGTCTTACAATTGAAACCATGGGTGGCTTGCCAGTTGTTGGACTGCAACTGCTGACCACTGACTAGTAGCTAGGTTCAACTTCTGGAGGACCACTCATCCCCATTGTAAGAGCTATCATCAGGGAGCAAAGCAATAAACACAGGGTTTGCAGGCCCTAATCTAGAGAGCAAGGTATGTTTTAACTTGAAAGTTAGTGGGTCAGAAGTGGCTAAACAAACAGCCATGTTAAACTCCATTGGAAACTAATATACTTTAAATTGTCGCTAGTATTTGACTAATGGTTTTTTTGGGGGGGGGAAGCGAGATCAGGCAAGTCCTAGCTCAAGGGGTGCTTGCTAGCTGGGAAAACCTTTCCTAAAGCTTCAGCAGTGTTGACCTTAGTTGAATTTTTTCTCCAATGCTCCCTTGGAGTTTGACTCAAAGCCTGGTAGAATCATGCTTAGGCTAACCTAGTATCTGTTGAACTAATATTGTGACTACTGCACCTAAAAATGGGTCAATCATTTTCCTCGGATTGAAGATGTAATTAAATACTCAGCAAAATAAAATGTGCAAACATCCTTTGGTCTTCTTTTTTGCTGGACTGCCAGATATGTAAAAAGTTGTAGGAATCACAAAAGACATTGGCAACTGTTGGTATCTTCAGTTACACCTTTAGCTGTGTAACTATGCCGTTTCGTGTTTTCCCTAATTGTAGGACTAATAATTTATCAGAAGGCCCTCAAAGCAAGTCATCTGGCCATCTGCCTTAAGGGAGATGTTAACTTATGTTAGATGTACTTCCTAAAACACCAGTACCAAAATGTTACTTCTGCAATTATGACTAACCTTGAACAGTGGTTCATGATCACAAAGACACGAGAGTAATGCATGTCTCATGACCTCTGTACTGTTGGAAGGGCTGTTTCCACACTGCAGGTAAATAGACAATTAGGATAATTAAGACGCATTCTAAGCTTTCAAAGAAAACTTGTTGGTTTGGTGCACTGCTAAATTGCTTAATGGCAGCTAAAATGAGCAAAGGAAAGGGGCTGGAGGAACCTCCTTAGGGGGGCTCAAAATGACCTATACCATGGATTGTAGGGTTTTCTATTGATCAGGTAAAACAGTATGTGGCTAGGTAATCATGAAGCAGTTTTGTAGGTACTATTCCAACTTCCTGCAGTTGTGCTGAGGTTTGCAATGTTCTACTGCAAAATGTTGCATTGCTTTTCTTAAGTTCCCTTTGATAAAATTTCTACTTACAAATTTATTTCTGTGTTATAGGAGTGTGCACAAACCATAGGATTTGCCTTGTAACCGTTTGTTAACCATTTCCTTAACTGTTTCTGAGTTGCTCTCTGCTTGAGGTTTCAAGCTATTCAGGATGGTCCACTGTCTGTTTCATCAGGGGTTTTAAAACTCAGGGGCACTGGCCAACAAAGCATTGAGCCCAGGAGCCATACAACTGCCCACCCACCCATTCTGAGCCTTCAGTTTAAGAGGTTAATACCGGAGTTGGAAATAAAAAATCTATTTCAAGAGTAATTGTAGGTGTGAATTTATGGAAAGAAAAAGGTTACAAGAAGTATCATCATACACCAACGGCTTTTATTTAGTTTCAGAAACCTTTCACAAGATGGTAAAAAACTTTTACAACCACTTCTCATTTTTTCCTCTCTCTCTTCCATGGTTTCCCATCAGTTCTAACCCCACTGTGTGCCAAGTCCAATAACTTACCATGCATCTAAAGTGATAGATACAGGCTATGAAATTCTTTATTCTATTGTAGCAGCTTATGCAGGTGCAGCCAAATACCAAGCCTCGGGACAAAGTTTTACACAAAAACTTTACAATGTAGAATTTGAATTTTTAAAATATAGAACTTAAAATCTACACAAAAACTGGTAAAAATCAAGCACAAGTACAAGGACTGAAACTTAACCCAGGTGAAAAGGAGAGAATCTCATCTTCCTTTCAAGTGCCTTTATTCTGCTACAGAACAGTAGAAAAAAAAAGCTTTTTTGTGTGGTTAGTTTAAATTATACACTCTGTAGATACTATGGACCAATTTAAAAGTTACACATATAGCAACAGATGTCCATCGGGTTCGTGTGGATTGCTCACACAATCCAACTGGATTGCTGGAAACAAGTCAGGCAAAATTTGAAGAGAAAAATCCATGTGTAACTTCCCCCCGCCCCCACCCCCAGACAAAACTTTTACTGATGGGCACACTGCACCCCAGGTCCATGATGGCCGCTTTCGTCATCAGAACTATCGTTGTAAGCTTCACGCCTCTGGCCGCCACCTGAACCACGAGTGGTATCAAATTCTTGAAGTTCTACCTCCTCTGCATCACTAATTATGTTGGAGATTTCTGGTCTGGCAGGCAGAAGATCTTCAAGTTCCTAAAAAGAAAGAGTGATGCAAAAATGTAGTACTCGCAGGAACACATGTTCCAGCAGGCGCCTTCTGCACCAACCTTTGAACACCTGCTGAAAGCTTTCCTATTCCACCAGGCCCATGTAGAAAATTAAGAAGAAATCCTTCTACAATGGTTAACTGATGTCTGCTTTTATTTTTTTTTATTGTTTTGGTTTTATGTTTTATTTAAAGTTTCAAGCCATGGCTTGGTCAGTACCCTTTTCTCCACTGATCTGGCCTTTTTACATACACTGTGCCCTTTCCCCAGTACAATTGTTTTAGAACTTGTGTTTTTATCACCATCCTTAAATCTGTGCTTGTAGAATCAGGCAGATGTGTCGTCTGATCGAGCAGCCAATGTTGGACCTACTCAGAGTAGGTCCAATGAAATTAGTGGAGCTAAGTCAATTTCACCTTCAGTGAGTCTACTCCGAGCAGAGGAACACAGCTGGATAAAACTGTTTCCTATAGTGATCAGATGTAATGGTGATGTGCAACTTCCACATATTCTGCAGCTGGCTTGCAGAAGAGGTGAGCATTTAGAGATACATCCTGGGGTACTCACTGTAAGCTTTTCTGGGCTAATCCAGTTGTTTTCAGGAAAATGCACGTCAAACTTTATATAAAGATCTCCCTTTTCAAAGGGATTGCGGTACTGTGGCATTCCTTCCCCCCGAACAACACGGACACAGCCTGCAGGAATGGACAAAGGCAATTGTTGTTAAGAGGCAGCCTATAGTTTTCCCCTCTGTGTAAAATAAAATACATTAACAGGCAAAATACAGGGTAACAGGCTTCCAAACAGCTCCAAAAGCCCATGAGGTTTTTTACCTGGTTCAATTACTTTTCCTGGAGGGTATTTCACCACAATTTGACGTCCGTCAAGGTGCTTAAATGTGAACTGAAAGCCACACAGTGCTTCAACAAGTCCTATTTTGTGCGTCATGTGCAAGTCATTCCCATCTCTTTGGAACACCTTGGAAAAGGGAGGGAAAGTAGTTTAGCGGCAAATGCATGAGCAGATGGGCTACCATAACAACAATAACAGAAACAAAAAGACAAAATTGTTGCTTACACAAGTGACCCCAAAAATATAAACAGTAAAACCCAATTGTAACAAAATCAATAAAAACCACAAATAAAATACACGTATTACTGATCGTGGCCCACTAAAAAAAGGAGAAAAAGAGGCCACAAATACGAGAAACCCTTCAAAATTTAGGGCCAAAAGCCTGGGTACAAAGACAAGTCTCTGGCTGTCACCTAAAAATAGATAAAGATGGTGCCAGGCATGCCTCCCTGGGGAGAGCACTTCACAAGCAGAGAGCTACTAGTGAAAAGGCCCATTCTCATCCCATGAAGGGGGCACACAGAGAAGAACTTCAGATGATAATGCAGGGTCCAGACCAGGCTTTTTGTCTGTCTTGAGCTACCTGCAAACAGGTAGGAACCATTGTGAGGGAAGGGAAAAAATGGGTACTGGCCTCTAGCTAGATCACAAACTCCTAGTGTGTATATGCTTTGTGTTACACTAAAATCTCACAGGTAGACAAAAAGTATCACATACAGGAGTATCTTACATTTACATCTGGCTACACTCAGATGTAATACAGAGGTACCTCTGGTTACATACTTAATTTGTTCCAGAGGTCCGTACTTAACCTGAAACTGTTCTTAACCTGAAGCACCACTTTAGCTAATGGGGCCTCCCGCTGCTGCCGCACCGCCTGAGCACAATTTCTGTTCTCATCCTGAAGCAGTTCTTAACCCAAGGTAATATTTCTGGGTTAGCAGAGTCTGTAACCTGAAGCGTATGTAACCCAAGGTACCACTGTATATGAATTTCGAGAGTAGAACTGGGGGAGGGGGAAATAGCAGAAATTGCCTTGGCTATGACAACTCCAAGACTAGGACAACTCACAGAATTCAGTGGGGCCATCTGACTTAAAATTAACAGCTCAGGTCACATACCTGAAGGGTGGAAGTTGAGTATAATTGCCCCAATATATAAAAAGGGTGATAAGAAAAACCCTGCCAATTATAGACCCATTAGTTTGTTAGATGTAGCCTCCAAACTATATGCCAGGCTCCTTCTTGGGAGACTAGAAGAATGGGCAGATACAAATAAGGTGATATCTGAAGTCCAGGCAGGTTTCCAAAGAGGGAAATCCACATTGGACCAGTGCTTTGTGCTGAACTTTCTGCTATGTAAATACATCCATAATTTGAAGCAAAAATTATATGTTGCTTTTATCGATCTAAAGTCAGCTATTGATACGGTCCCAAGACACGCATTGTGGCAAAAATTGGAAAAGACAAATATAGACCTCCGTCTATTATTTCTCATCAAAACATTATATACTGACTTAAGATTCATGAAGATGAACTCAGTCAACTTAGTTATGACCAGTTTCATTTGTTTCAATGGGGATACTTCAAAACATGGCTTAGCTGGATGCAGCCCAGAGAGACTTGTGAGCAAAAATACAAAGCTTTGGGCTGAAAGGCTTTTGCTTTACTTCTGAACATTCAATTGTTTTTTGTTTAATTCTGAATAGCAGCCAAGTGTATTTCAAATAGCTCAGGTCACAACAGCAAGGAGTTCACAATACATTTTACTGGGAAAGGTACGAGAACAAAAGCAACCATGTCTCAAATGGCCTCTGACCATTATGAGGAGTTGCCCACTGCTAGCTTCTCTGGTTTCCAGAATGCGTATTTAAAATAGCAGCAGGTGTGCTATGTTATCTTTCTCTAGTTGCGCATATGTAAAGCATGGAAACAAGCAACACAGTCATACCTATTTTAATTGCTAGGTAACAATTAGGTGCCTAGAATGTACCAAATGCTGTACACAGATTTAAAAACATGATAGGCCCTGCCCACAGGCCTACATTTCTAAAAAAGATTAGACACATAGGGAAAAAGAGAAGAGACTAATCACACATAGTACAGTAGTTCATATAAATGACCAGCTTGAACAGAGACTGGGCTGCTGATAACTGGGGCCAAGCGGCCCACGGTCGCTTGGCTGAATCTACTGGGTGGGGCCCCAAGGTCCCAGATTTCTCTCTGCTCCTGTCAACTAATTTGTTCACACAAATTATCACAGGTTAAACTGGGAAAAGCCTGTGTCCCTCCTGACCGCTGGGCATGCTGGCTGGGGCTAACAGAAGACAACAATACTGTATATGGAGGGTCAGAATCTGGAGGTTCCCCACCCCTGGGTTAGATACAAAAAAGTGCACTTCTGTATACATGTTTCTTCTGCTCATGGGAAGCATGTTTTTAAACCATGTGGCAAGACACCAAGTGCAAAAGGTGATTCTAACTTCAAGAGGTGGTGCAATATCTCCTGAAAAGCCGAAACACAAGAACTACTCACACTATTGCACAAACAGGCAGAACAGCACCAGCAGCAATTTTCCTTTTGCTCATGGCTATCTAAGTTCAACTCCATTATCATCCACACATTTAATGGAGCACCACTACACTCCGCCCCCCACAAACCGCTGCCAGCCTCAGTATTCAAAAGGATCCAAAGGTCTGCAATAAAAAGAGAGCTTTGCATTTCAGGCAGCAAGTTACCTCATGCTCCTTTTCCTGAAGCAGGAGAACGATGTCGCCTGGCTCCACTCCGGGGGCTTGATCGGCCTCTCCAGTAAAGGTGATTCTCTGCCCGTGCTTCATGCCTTTATCTACATGGACTTCAAGGATCTTCACTTCTTTGATCACCTTCTTCCCTTCACATTTTTTACAGCGATCTTTTTCATTAATTACTTCCCCTAGAAAAGAGAGAGACGGCCAGTTATGACCCAGTTTCAAGGGGTGGAAAACATCTGGCATGCGGGACAAACACAGCCCTCCAGGCCTTTTTATCTGGCCCATGCGACTTTCCCCAGACCACGCTTGTCCACAGTCCTATTCTGCACCCTCCCGGAGTGCCTTTGCCTGGCTGGAATGTGCCCAACTGTGATAATGCCTATGGCTTGCCTGCATGGAGTGTGTGTGGACATGCTTTGACTTGTGAAGTCAGAATGCAACCCACTGAACAAAGACAGGGGTCACATCTGCTGCCACACCCATTTTCTGCCCCTGGCCACCATGTCACTTACACATGGCCCCTGGAAGGTTGCCCAAATGAGAATGTGGCCCTTTGAATCCCCCCGCGCTGATGGGATTCTGTTGCATGTTAAAGTCCCCCGTGTTTTCACAAACTTTTGGAGGCCGTGCTTCGATTACCGTTAGCCCTGGTCTCAATCATATTGATGCTTATTTTATTCTTGTATGTTTAAACTGTATTTCACTGGTATCATTTCGTTTATTATGGAAACCCTTTTGGGTTTATGATAGAAAGCAATCTACAAGAATCTCCCCCCACTCCAATAATAAAATGGTTCCTTAGCCCGGCTACGTAGTTTGCTTCTTTACTGAGATGCAAGGCACACCTACCAACAAGTGCTGCTGGTGTCTCAATGTGGTTCGCTAAAACCAGGTCAGGAACTTCCCCATTCAAATGCGTGTCATTTAAAGCAGGAAGACAGGCTAAGGCTAAGATACCTGACCCCATCACAGGAGGAGCCAGCTTGCAACTATTCAGGAACAGCTGAGCTGCTGATCACCCATGACCATGCTGATCAGGTTATGAGGAATGTAGACCAGTTCCTTCCATGTCATTTCTTGCATATGCTTTCTATACTCCTACATTACTGGAACAACCACTGCACCACTCCTGCAATGTAGGAGTTATGCCTAAGGTGTCATAATGCAATTGCCACTGAAGCATCTAGTATATCAGGTTGCGAACATGATCCGTGTGGGAGGCACGGTGGCAACCTGCAGCATTGGCAACCCACAGCGGTGCGTCTGCACACATGATTCAGCGCTTCTGCGCATGATGTCATTTTGTGCTTCTGCGCAGAAACCCGGAAGTAACCCTATCCAGTACTTCTGGGTTTGGCACGGTCCGCAACCCAAAAACGCACAACCCGCAGTGTTCGCAAGCCGAGGTATGACTGTAGATGGCTAGTTGTATGTGTATCATCCTTAAGAGTTCTATATTCCCACTGCATTGACAAACCACACCAATGAAAGCAAGGCAAAGGGCAAACCATGTTGCCCATGTCTCTAAACAATTCAATGGGGAGCAGGGATTTATGAGCTTCTCATCTTGCTAACTTGCACCCTAGTTTTAGCTATCATAATGTATTGAAACTTAAGGGACTTTTCTTGAGATCAGATGCTTGTGGTGAATTGATTGGCTTACCTTCTCCATTGCAGTCAGAGCAGACAGACTGCATCTGCTGAACCATCCCAGGAGCCAGCTGCCTGATCATGATACGCACACCTCTGCCTCGGCAAGCCGCGCACTTCTGAACTGCTCCAGATTTACCCCCTTGGCTAGATCAAAAATATGTTGATTTCATATTATTATAAACACAAAAAGGAAATGTAGTTTTACATTTTTGGAGCCTGGGGACATCTAATCCTGTAGCAAGTCTTAAAGCTTAGGAGATGCAGGTCTTAGTGCTTTGGATAGCAGCCCACTTGAAAAATTGTATAAGCACTTAGCAAGGAAGAGCAGGATGCAGACAATACACACACAAGGGCATCTTGTTGCAAAGCTGAACAATGTAACCCTACAAACAACTGAACCTTAGGTGGACATGGACTTTTTTGTTAGCAGTTATTAGATTCCAGCAATTTATATACCAACTGACTATAGAAAACCCCCAAGCGATTTACAAAAAGAAACCAATAAAATTATCAGTAAAAACAGCTATTTAAAAAAAACCAAACAATTAAAAACAGTGATAAGCTAAAATCAGATTAGAACTCATGCTAACGTTCTACATATCTGGATAGGCTTGTCTAAACAAAAAATTATATTTAATTTTCATTTTTAAATCTTTGCTCAATTTTTCAAGAATCAAATCATTAATCTTTTGAAGACAGATGAATGCAAAAAAAACCCCAAGCAAACAAAAAAAACAACTCACCCGTTACATGAACTACAAAGGACATTCTTGCTAAGTTGTAGTTTGGTAGTCTTTCCATTATAAAGATCTTCTAAAGAAACTCTGAGTAAAGGAAAAAGATTGTACTTTAGGTTTTGGTTCAAGTATCAGAAGAATGAACACATCTTGTTTTAACATACTTGCAGGCTCAGCTATTGAAAGGCTACATGAAGTGGCAAAAACTTATTCCAGATACCGAATATACACTGGTAAAAAATGTTAGCACTATTGTTTTTAGACCAGCCCAAGAGATAGATGAGCTGCAATGTAGAAAGGTATGCCCACCAACTTGTTGCCATTATACGGTAGCTCTATGTTCTCTTACCAGGATTTCACACATGCACCAAAGGATCCATACTCCATAGCCTAGCAATGCATCATTATTACATGTATACTCTACCTTCCTTCCAATGAACTCAACATACATGAACCTTCTAATTCATCCTCACATAGCCCTGTGGGGCAATTAGCCCAAAACAGAGATACTCAACTTGGCACCCTTGACAGATTGTTTGACTATAATTCCCAGTGTCCCTGACCATTGCCATTGCGGCTGATAAAGGCTGTAGTCCAACAATATCTGGAAGGCATGGCAAGGGCTAACCCTGGCCTGAGAGCTAGCAACAGGTCCAAGGTCACCCAGTAATTCAGTGGAGATTTGAACTTGGGTTTCTCCAGTTCTACCTCAGCTCTCTCACCACAACAAAGGACTGTCTTACTCCTATCAAGGTCTTCAGTGGAGGCTGTGTTCTTGGTGCCTTCACCTTCAGGGAGAGGTTAAGGCAGGTGCTACCAGGTGGCTCTGCAAGTAAGCAACTGCTGCCTTGTGTGTATCTCTCAGAAGTCTGTATTAGCATTTAAGCACCAGCTCAGTGTTCCTGTTCACACAGGCATACAGCAATATCTAGAACCCTGATCTTTCCTGACCTTCCCAATGGGGTTTCTCTTTTTTATATTGTAATTTTATGTTATGAACCACCTTCAAACCTATGAGTATATGGCAGTATACAAATTTTAATAATAATAATGATGATGATGATGGTTTCTGTTGAAGGAAATCTGGCAGCCTGAATGATTAAGTGTGGACTTTTAAATATACAATTATCTTAGTCTGGTGACATGTACGATATTTTAGTGATTCTATGTTCAAAAGGCAGGCTACAAACACTTCAAATACATGATTATGACAGCAAACCAAGGTGTTCCGTAAATCAAGAGGCTTCAGCTGTTTCATGGAAATCTTTAATTCAAATTTTGACGAGAGGAATAGCCACTAGTTTTTATTGCTGTCCTCTTTCCCTTAATTGCTGCCCATCCTTTCTGAAGCAGCATAGCGAGGACTTTCACACCCAACACAGCAACCATTTTAGACCTAATCTCATAGCGCATGGTTGTTTTTCCTTTGTACCACTGGTTTTTCCAAGAGCAACACAAAAATATGATAACACATACTGTAGCAGCATAACCAATAAAAGCCATCAGCTGAAGATTAAAATGGAAGGATTTTACAAACCACAGTTAAAAGCTGCAGCCAGTTTCTACAGCCTTTTAGTGAAAAATACAGATTTTAAAGGCAGCAGATTCCAGTTTATGCTTTCAGCAGGAGAAATAAAATATCACTGAATTCCAGATGGAGACATTTTAATGGACTATTTCACACATTATTTGTTTGAAAGATCTGTATATGACCCTTCAGCTTCCAGGGAGATTAAACCCCCCCCCCCCCAATATAAAATACATATCATATTGAGAGAGAAAAAACAAACATCAAAATATATTTTGTTGGCACTGAAAGGATAACAATGTTAGCACTATTTGGGCCAGCCTGGGAAGGAACCTTCTTTAATATATTTTTCGTACCAGTCAAGTATTTCCCCCCTCCCCACCCGGGCTTTTAACATCATTTAAAATTATTTACATTAATATTCTAATCTCTGAATTTCACTGTGGTTTAAGCTCAATGAGGATGTTTTGTGGCTCTCTTTAACATGACTATGGATGAAATTATGTTATCTGCTAACACATGGCTGTTTCACATGACAAGATGTTGGTATTCAAGTTAAAAGCAAAAAACAAAACCAACAATGATCATCACCCTACAACTCTGTTAATGGGGCAACTCATAAATGTCTGAAAATTCCACAAATGGAGCAATGGCACTGAAAAGGCTCTTCCTGGTTAACTCCCAACCCACCTCAGGTGAAATTAAGGATTTTGTTTTGACTTGGGACACATTCATGGAATAAGAACTATATGCTACAACTCCTCTAGTACATTTGCTCTGTCAGAATGCAGCATTCTAAAGTAGAAGTAACACTTGGCTAGCTCCTGCTCAGGCTTCTGTATACTCACTTTAAAATGAATCAAATAAACAAACAAACCATTTCTGCACCAACGTAATCTAAATTTTGCAACTTGCATAATTAATGGAAGCAACCTGGCATTTGCTTAATTTTGCACCATTAATTTGGCTTCTGTTTTTTATTGCTTCAATTTTATATGCTGCCTTTCTGCACTTGGCACCCAATCAAGGCGTAGTTAAAGACTGGGGAAAGGAGCTATGCAGAACATTAAGCTCGCCTCCTGCCAAAAAACCCGACTCACCAATACTTTAAGATAAATACACTTAGCATCTTACTGGCTATAAAGGGTAGGGTTTTTTGTTCTTTAAAAAATAAATTTCAGGTTACTCAATTCTGTACCCATCACTGCCTGCCTAGTCCACCTGCTGCGTTAAACTAGAATTTCAGAATACCTGCCTCACTCCATCTGTTCTTGCGAAGGCTTGCTTTCTCACCTGATCTGCTTGGAACAGTCTGCTGTTCCTACTTGTCTGCTTTTCATTGTAAGGGATTCTGAACAACTTGAACTTCAATGTTTTTAATCACATTGACTTGGTAGAACGATAGCCTCAGGTTTAAAGCGATCTATTCACTAGGCTGTTAATAAGTGGTTTTGCTGCAATGATTAGTCCAACCCGTCTTGTAAATGTATCAAGTTACCTAGAGCATGGGTGAGGCTTTAATATTCCATTCACTGATGATTTAGAGGCTTGGCCTTATTTCTTTAGTAACTTGCCTTGGCAGAAACAAACCAACACATAACCAGGTACCAGTTCCTTGGGACTATCTATTACAATGCTGGATTACTTTTTTGTGTTCAAGGCTAAATCCAGAATTTTTTTCTCTAGCATTTTTAAAAACCCCATCTGAATAAAAAACAAACAACTCATCTGATGAGAGAGAGAGAGAGAAGGCTCCATGGAGAAGCAGGAAGAACATTAATCTTTTGTAAAGGTTGGATGTGGCAATGGAGGTATACCAAAAGGGGCAACATTGGGCCCTATGGAGATCTTGTCCCACCTACACTCACAATGGAAGGGTCATGCTAATCATTTGTGTTGAGTCAGGTGTTACACAAACTCTGCAGGTAAGGTTTCAGCCTTAAAAAAGTGAAGGGTTTTCCTGCTGTGGTGCCACTCTACGTAAGTTGATTGCCAGGTGAGATGCACCAGACCCATCACTGCATCCTTTCAGGTGCCTGGTGACAACATGGCTTTTAAAGACAGCTTTTAAATGTTGTGCTGGCTTAAGTTGTGTATATTTTAATAACTGGATTTGTTTTGTTGGGTTTGGTATGGAATGTTGTGTGTACAATACTGTATTATTATTTAGTTGTCTTAAGTTTCCTTGGAAAATAAGGCAGGGTAGACTTTAAAAAAACAACAAATAAATGCTGGATCGCCAAGGCTATTTTGGTATCAGGTAGCTTCAGATAATTTTAAATCATGTGTACTTGAAAGTCCTTCAGTTTGTCATGAGAACGTCAGCCCACCAATAGAGCAATTATGCATTCGAGACAGGAACTTCCCCCAGAGACAATAAGCCAGGTACTTACTTGAGTGGATGCATCATATCTTCACCTCTTCTTCTTCCGTTGCGACTTCTACTCTGACTACCCATGAAACTGAACAGTCCCCCACCAAATATGTGGGAGAAAATATCGTCCATTCCTCCACCTCCACCACTACCTTCTCGGAGGCCTTGTTCTCCATACCGGTCATACAATTCGCGTTTCTCGGGATTTGAGAGAACTTCATAGGCAAAGCTTATTTCTTTGAACTAAGGAGGTAAACGTAAATGAAATGCCTATTATTTGCATGTTTGGCAATATATGTACAATAGGAAAGGAAAGTGTTTCGGCAGATACGCTTCTACTACATTACAATTACTGTTGTATAAGCAGATATATGCAAAATGCCAGCCCAGTCTGGACTCTGGCAACAGGCAGGTGAGCCAACTCTGGGCATCCAACTCTCCTGCATTCCTTTACTGATCTATCTTCAAAGAACAGGCCTCTCCTTTGCTTCTGAGGAGGACTAGGTATATCCTGCTCTGCACAGCTGATCCATCCTTCTGTGCTTTGCTCTCAGGCATCTCAGTGATTCACTACACAAGCATGTCACATCTGTGTCATTCATGAACTTTCTCCATTACTCACATTGATTTGAACAAACTGCTCTCTGCAGTCATGTGTCAAAGCACAGCTAATGGCAAGAAGGCAGCTTTGATTATCTTATAACATTCACATCCCACTGCTACTCCAAAGAGACTAGTTTAATGCACATGAATATTGTTCCATTTTATTCTCACAACAGCTCTGAGATAGAACTTGGGCTGTTAAGTAAGCTTCACCACAGAGTATGGATTTAAACCAACATTTCATCCAGTTAAAGCTGAGTACTACCTACACCTCACCGATGGCACATTTTCACCATTTTCCACACATTTTCCTCTTTTCAGTTCTTCTCAGACTACGTGTTCACAAGCTATTTTGGCCAGCATTGTGTCTTGTTCATCTTAAAATGCAACAATTTGCAGGAGAAGTCTTACCTTGTCACCTGCATTTGGATTCTTATCAGGGTGGTACTCCTTGGCAAGCTTCCGGTATGCCTAAATGGCAAAAGGAACCAACATAACTAGTTAGTGGGGAAATGAATACAGATTTTGAGTTCAGCTTGTCCTTCCCCACTCCCAAAAAAGCCCCTGAAGTCAACTAGTGCTTGAAAAACCTATTTTTTATTTTTTTAAAATCCATTACAAGAACAAGCTTGCATATGAGCCCCCATTGAAATGAAACTAGATTAAACAGCATTAGGTTATCAAAGATTGAACCCAATTCAACAGCAATTATTCGAGCACGGCCAAACTTTAGCAGTCTGAACAGGAATAGCTACAGTAATCTGAAGAGGCTTCAGAACAGTGCAGATGTATAATAACCTTATCAAAGCCCAACACATCTCAGATACATCCTCCTGAGGGAAAACTTTATAGCTGTCTACAGTATTTCCATAGGGGTTCATGTATCATACTATAGCACCACTGAAGTGCAATAAAAGACTGCCTGGTAGCTGTTAACCACATTATTCGTGGCAGCTTAGAAAATTAAAATTATGCTTGCTCTTTTGAATATCCTTGAGTTTCTCAATCTCTTCCATGCACACAAATCCTATTCATATTTGCTGCTGCCATAAAAAAATCTGCCCTTAATAAAATGGTGTGAATTCTCAACCAATTCATTATTCATACTCTCCCTGTTTACATTAACAGCAACCACTACTTCTACAAGTAAATATGACCTAGTGCCTTTAATATGTGCTTTATAACTGTTTGTGTTTAATCTTGCAACCATCCCCTTAAGAAGATCACCACTAAAGGTTTGATATGTGCTCAAAGTCCATATGCACGAATGGAAATAGGGCTCACAAATAAAAAGTTAATTCTCAACAAGACACATTACTATTTCCTCAAAGTCAGCAAGAATCTCCAAAAATAAACAATGAGAACAATTTGGAGTTGGTTATATTGAAGCTTCACTAAAAATCTGTGTGACTGATCAACTTTCAGTGAGAAAAGCCATAGTTGCTAAGAAGTAATTCTGTAACATGACCAAGACTGAAAAGTATTTTCAGTGACTGCTCTGAGTTAATACCGTGTGCCAAACTATTGAAGTTGAGATGCTACTAGGATTACAAACATTGTCAGAAATATCAGCCATCCTGAACTGTTTCCATTAATGACATCACCATTGGTACTTATTTGAATGGACCATCTCTCTATTTTTTACAGTATCCCGATTCCTGGACACAACTACGCTTTCCTCTACATACAGTGGTACCTTGGGTTAAGTACTTAATTCGTTCCGGAGGTCCATTCTTAACCTGAAACTGTTCTTAATCTGAAGCACCACTTTAGCTAATGGGGCCTCCTGCTGCTGCCGCACCGCGAGAGCACAATTTCTGTTCTTATCCTGAAGCAAAGTTCTTAACCTGAGGTACTATTTCTGGGTTAGCGGAGTCTGTAACCTGAAGCGTATATAACCCGAGGTACCACTGTATTTTGTTAGACTATGCAATGAAGTAGCATTAAGATTTACAATGTTGCTCATCAGGACACAACTTCATATTTTAAGACCTAGGACCTATCTTTAACCCAAAGCAGGCACAAACTAGCAATTGTTTCACTGAATGAATCTCTTCTCTCTAGTGACCAAAGATGGACGGAAATTTTACATGTGCAAGCTGTTACATGAGAATTTTCTTATACATTAATTAAAAGTAATGTAGCTCTGCCCTCTACTTCAAGTCATCCTGAATTTTTAACCTTTACTGTTTTAATTTTCTCCTTCCAAAAGGAAAAAAAAGCAAAATTATGGTAGTACTAGTGCAAACCAACATAGGCTGGAACGCAACCCACTTCCAGGTCCTAATCTACCAATTAAAGAATAACCTTTAAAAAGTCAAATGGCGTCTTCAGCCATCTGTTATATCCAATGATTGCAATTCTGAGACCATCATTCTGTATGTACCAAAGCTTACAAATAAGCAGTGGGAATTTTGATTCCCACACAGAAGCCTTCCCATGCCACACTGTTAGCTGCCTTTGATAGTCCCAGGGCTCAAAAACTGCTTGCTGTGATAAGCAATATGTGCATTTGTGAAAGGAAGGCTCTCTAGCCTCTGGAATATATTTCTCCAAAATATATGCAAGTGCAACACAATCCTGCTAGCAAGTCCAGTTAAATGTTTGCCTCTCACTTAGAAAGCATCTATTTCTGAAATATTAAAACGGCAACAGTTATTCAAAATTACACCCTAATTTGACATTCTATTTTTTGAAAAGTTTAGATCATGCAAGTGGTTCAAAAACAAAAATCACCTATCAATGTAACTTCCATGAAGTTTTCCTGGATATGTTCTATTTTTAAAGGGACATAGTCAAAAGGAATATCAGGGCATAGTTAATTTTGCTACTCACCTAAACTTTCATTTTAAAGGGATAAGACATTGCTAAATCTCAGCAGCCCTTAGTAAGCAATCACCTATCATTGTAGTGACCAAACACCACTTTAAAGGAGGAACGTGTTCACAGAATATAAATAGGATTTTTCTGAATCTACATGAAGGAACTTATTTCCTGTTAACCTCAGAACCCTCTTATCGCTTATGCTTCCTCCAAAATACCTGCTTCCATAACTACGAATACCCAGCCCAAACAAATTATGCTATTACACGCCCAGATGAAGAGGATCTATTCCCCAGTAGCACCACCCTTCCGTCACAAACAGGCAGGACATGGTTATTAACCAGCTGAAGGCTCTGATGTGGGATGGGGTTCTCAAAGACTAGATGAGGAAAAGAAGTGGGTTGTGCCTAACAAAAACAAGTTAAGGGCAATTAATCTTGAAAGGCTTAACATGAAGGGGTTATGTTACCTAGGGACTTTTGACCTTTCCACCCCCACTCCCCTTTTTGAACAGCCAAGATGAGAAGGGATCACCTACGGAGGAATGAAGGCCAAGAATGAAGCCTGTGCTTTTGTAGACAGAAACAGAATGTGCCCAAATGAGATTCAGCATACGTGGAAGTAGAAATAAAGAGAATATAGGTTGGGATACCATTCTTATTACCCTCCCCAAGAATGAAGTGGAGAAATGATCTTCAGGTAAAACCAATTCCCAGGAGGCATGGGATTGGGGCAGGCATGGCCAAACTTGGCCCTCCAGCTGTTTTGGGACTACAATTCATCCCTGACCACTGGTACTGTTAGCTAGGGATGATGGGAGTTGTAGTCCCAAAACAGATGGAGGGCCAAGTTTGGCCATGCCTGGGTTGGGGGTTGGTAATGGACAGAAGAGTAGAAAATAAAAGGGCAAAGAGCTAACCTCCAGATTTCCCTCACCATCATAAGAAACTCCTCAAGGTTACAGGAGATGGAGTGACAAGGGGAATAAAAAATGGTGAGACTGGAAACTGATAGGTCATCCATGTTCTCACATGGCCAATCCAGAAAGGCACAAACTTGTGAGGAGAGGGAAGACAAGTAGGCTCTTGATACCATGCAGCAAGCCTCAACTGTGGGGAGGAAATAAGAATATTGGTGAGATAGTCTCTGTTTTCCCTTACTGCTACCCTAAGTTTAACTTTCAAGGCACAAAAGGGTTTTTTATGGGGGGTACAAGAAGGCGGCAAAGAGAAAATGGGGAGAGAAAAGGAAGGCCAGCCTCTGGCTCACCCTTGCCACCATGAAGCAAGGCACACAGAATTTTTAAAAATGGGGGACCTAATCCCCAGGTCTTTCTTCTTGCCACCGTAAAAATAACTCACCAGCCATATAAAATCTATGGGTGCTGTGGGTCTGGATAGAATGTTAGGTTTTAATGCTGAAATCCACTGAAGGTCAGGCAACAAATTAAATAATAAAGTCTGCAAAGGGTGGAGAGGTTAAAGAGTGGAATTAACAAGAAAATATCCCTCCCCTCCTTGTGATCATGAAGCAAGTCTTAACTCTCATCTAGGGGAGCGGTACACAGGAAAGAAAATGGGGAGGGGGCAGCATCCAGCTTTCCCTCACTGCCACTCTGAAAACAATCCCCAAGGTACAAACTACTGGGAAGCTGGGATGGGTTATTGTTGCTTCTGAACATACCTTTCTATCTAGTAAAGTATTATGGGTTAGATAACAACACTAAAGACGGGAGGGGGAAGAGAAGGAAAAAAGAAAGCTTGTCTCTGTCTGACCCATGTAGTCCAGAATCCTGTTCTCATAGTGCCCAACCAAATGCCTATTATGAGAAACCCTCAAGAAGGACCCAAGCACAAGAGCACTCCGTCCCCCGTCCAACAACTGGTATTCAAAAGCACCCACTTTGCCATTGTGGCTAGCAGACACCATCGGCTCTTTCCTCCACAAATTTGTCCAAGTAAGATGGCAGGGGGGGATGCATAAGCAACCCCCACCCAAATGTATATTTCAATGGTGTGGAAAGAGAAGTGACTCTAGGATATAAACCCAATCAATCCAACACCACGCAGCACCCACCTTCTCCTTCAGGGCCTACTTACCTTCCAGAGCCAACACCACAACACAACAAACACCGGCTCCTGCCTCAACCGGTGGCCCTTCCTCCTCCACACAACACCCACCACTAACCGGCATGGTGAGCGCGGAGGTGTGTGTTTGTGTGTGTGCATAGGTTGGATACAAGCGCCATAAGCAAATTATATATGTATAATTATATAAGCAAATTATATATGTATAATCTTCCCTCCCCCTCCTCCTGGCAGGAGGGCCACCTTCCAGGGCCAGCACACACCGAGAGCTCACTCCCACCTCCTCCCCCCCACAAGCGGCCTTCCCTTCCTCCTCCTCCTCCTCCACCACATACAAACACGGCCACCCAACGCTACCCAACAAGCCTGGGCCTGACCCTGAGCTCCTGCCGCCTCCCCCTCCCCGCAACCGGCCCCGAAGGCCCCATCCAGGCCGCCGCCGCCGCCGCCTCCCCCCACCGCCCGACCCCCGGCCAGGCCTAGCCAGGCGAGGCCTGCTCCAACCCCGGGCGTCTCCAATGACCCCGGTCACAAGCCGGCCTCCCTCCCGCCTGGGCCTCCCTCTCACCGCTGCCGCCCCCCCGGCTCCCCCCCCGCCAGGCAGACCTTCTTGAGCTCGTTGTCCGAGGCCCCCGGCGGCACTCCGAGGATGTCATACAGTTTCGTGTCGGCTACGTTCGCCATGGCGGCCGGCTGGGAGGAGGAGGGAAGGGCGACGAAGACGACGACGATGAAGCCGCCCGGGTAGGTTGCGGGGAGAAAGGCCGGGAGGAGGAGGCCGCGCGCGCGCGCCCGCGTGTGTGTGTGTGTGAGGGAAAGAAGGAAGGGAGGGAGGGGGGAAAAGAGGAGAGAGAGAGCGCGAGAGAGAGAGAGAACGGGTGAGTGGAAGAAGGGGGAAGGCCCTCCGCCACGCACGCGTCGACGTCGTCACGTCGCGACGCACGCACCGCAGCGCACACCCGGATGACAGGAGAGCGAGAGGGAGAGGGTTGGTGGGCGGGGAGGAGGAGGCCCCGCCCACTCGCACGGGCCTCGGGCGAAAGAACGCCCCGCCTCCGCTTTCTGCTCCGCGCGAACTCCAGGAAGTGAAGGGGAGAAGGGGGAGGGGAAACACGGGAGTGGAGTTAGACCGAAGGGATCGGGGTTCTTAGGAGTTTGTGCTGAACGTTAGTTGTCGCCACTGCCGCCCCCTTTTTCCCTAGTGTATTCTGGGAATTGTAGTTCTGGGCAGGGGCGGATTAAAGGCCTTTTAGAGGTGAAAAGGTGATTCTGTTCCCCCAACCTCCGCATATATAATTCAAAATAAAAACAAGCTAATTAAGCCCAAATGGCATAATGTGCATTATTTTTATAGGGGTGTGTGTGTGTGTATGTCATATAACTTTGCATATCACGTTTATACACACACACACACACACACACACACACACACACACACACAGTATATGCCTATGTGTGTGTGTATGTGAGGAAAAACAAATCCAGTACGCATAACGCAGAAAAACTTATCAATAATAAAAACTTGGATCTGAATTCCTTGCATTATTTTGATCTACATTAGTAGGACGCTCCTTAGTTTATTGAAAGAGAACAGGAAAAAATGGGGAAAGGGTGTGGAGCGGAGTACAGAGAAGTCTAACGAAGTTCCCAGGATGACACCATTGAGGCTTAACAAAAATCAAATGTAAACATCTTAGTAATAATGATAATCCCTTCCACCCTCTGTTTTTGTGCCCCTGAATCTCTATTGGCAGAGCATTCCACAGGATTGGGCTGATGGCACTAAAGGCTTGGTTCAGGGTTTTTTTTGTCAAGGAGCCTCAGCAACTCAGGAAATGACCAGCAACACTCCTGCCGATTATCTCTGTTATCAAGCTGGGATGCCCATGAGGTATCCTGAACCTAAGTTGTTCAGGGCTTTGTAAACTCATACAAGGAGCTTGAACCTGTCTCAGTAGTAGAGGGACAGCCATTGCAGCTGGCGTCACATGTTCTCAACCAGAAGCTCCCCTTAGCAGTCTGGCTGCTGCATTCTGCACCAGCTGGAGTTTCTGAACCAGACACATTGCAGTAATTTGTGCACAGGCAGTGTGCGGGCCAAGTGGATTGTTCACGATAATAGTGACAAATACAGTAACTGGCCCCTAGGGATGTGAGAAGGCACTGTTTTCCAACCCGTTCTGGTTCATCTATTATTTGTGTAATCAAGCCCTACTGACCACAAATGCCGATGCTCTTGAAATTATGTAAATTATGTTGTCCTTGCATTATTACACCCCATTCATTTCAATGGAAAGGAAACACAGTGCAAAATGGGGACACACACACACACACGTAATAAATTATGTATCCTTTGGAAACCGAAAGCAGAAGCAACAAAATAGAATATGGAGGGTGTCTGCTGGATTACTTTCCACTCCAGACATGGGGCAGATAAATGAACGCTGGCAATTTGTGCTCCTGTTTCCGTCGGAATTCTCCAGCATCCCTACTGGCCACAGATGCTGATGCTCTTGAAGAATAATTTCATGGGGTCTAGAATGGGGTTGGACAACTCCATAACATTCCTGGCAAGTAGCACCTTAGAGACCAACTAAGTTTGTTCTTGGTATACTGGACAATTTTTTTATTTTTATATATATTTCGACTGCGTCAGACCAACACGGCTACCTACCTGAATCTAGATCCCTGGCAAAGCAGCATCCCCATTGCTGTCTCTCAACCATTGTCTCTCAGCATCACCTACTTCACGGGGTTGTTGTGAATCTATAATGGAGGTGCACACCACCTTCAGCTTCCTAAAGGTCCTATTGCAAGTCAAGCTCCCCATCACAACTTCTGAAGAAGAGGCTATGAAGAATAACCAAGGATCCACGTCAGCTTACAGTATATGGTCCTTGTGGGTTAACTGATCCCAAGAGGTTTAAGGCCTTAAAGATCAAAAGCAGCACTTTGAGTTGTACCCATAAGCTATTTTCAAACATTTGGGAGATTTAGGCGTGTGCTTTCCTCGAACTTTATACTTAAATGCTGTGATAGTAAGCGACAAAAGGGCAAGGTCTTTGTAACACAGGACTTGGTTTGTCTTAGGTCATTATCACTTAAAAAAATATATAAACCCAGACGGAACATCACATGAACAAATGATAGCGATATATTTTGCGGCAATGTTATTCTGGCAGAAAGGGCAACTTTTCAAAGTATGTGATGTTCATTAAATTAAGGGACTTCTGTAAGGGATATAATAAAAGGGCCTGTCTAACCTGCAGCCATAAGGGATATAATGCTCCTTGTCTCCCTCTCCCCCTCTCTCTTTCTCTCACACACAAATTCCCAAAGTACTGTATTTTTCACTCCATAAGATGCACCCCTTTCCTCCTAAAACGTAAGGGGAAATGTCTGTGCGTCTTATGGAGCGAATGCGTGGTCCCTGGAGCCGAATTGCCCAGGGGCAGGCAAAAAGCAGATCGTGCTTTTTTTTTTAGAAAGAGGGAAGGGGGTGTTGAAACAAAGCCGCTGAACAGCTGATCGGCAAGGGATCGGGAGGGAGATAAGGGACTCTAGAGATAAAGGAGGCTGCCTGGGAGGGGGGAGGTTAAAGCCCATGGATCCTCAGGATTTTTGCATTGGGTCACCCCAAATTCACCATCAGATCACATAGCATGTCCATGGCTACAGCCAGCACCAAAAAAATGACGCATCCATTGTTTTGTGGGGCTGTAATAGCGCAAAAACGTGGTTACAAAGCATGGATCCACATGGATTCTCAGGATTTTTGCTTTGGGCTATCCCAAACTCATCGTCAAATCACATATCATGTCTGTGTGCAGCACCCAGAGCACCGTGGAACGTTGTGGGCACTGTGCGATGCATCCTGTTGCGTGCGCCAAGCTGCGGGTTCCTTTGCTGGCTTTTCCGCTGTCGGCGCACGCTCCCAGCGCTGGGGTGCCAGTGCAGAATGATGGGGAATGCAAGTGGCATAGGAGACAACCCTGAAATCTCACAAGATCTCATGAGCTCTGTAAGATCTTGCAAGAGCTCAGTGAGATCTCACAAGATCTCACCAGAATCTGCCATTGTTGCTGACAGGCACCGCTGCACAATCCAGGTAAGGGAGGCTTGGGCGGTGGTGAAGTTCTCAGCATGCTGCACGCTGAAAGAAAATTATATGAAAATGATGTACCGGTGGTATTTGACTCCTAGTAAGCTTGCAAAAATGGATAAGACAAGTGCAAATATCTGCTGGAAATGTAAGCAAAAGGAAGGCACCTTCTATCATATGTGGTAGACCTGTAAGGTTCTAAAAGCATTCTGGGAAATGATATACTGGTACTTTGTAAAATGTGCATGAACATCGATGCATGTGTGCCTTTTATATGCCACTTTTCCTCCAAGGTGCTCAAAGTAGTGTACGTAGCTCACACACACTATTTTATCCCCATAAGAGCTGTGTGTGGTACGTTAGAGTGAGAGACGAGTGCCCCAGATCTTGCAGGAAACTTCATAGATTAGCAAGGGTTTTGAACCCTGGTCTTCCAGGTCTTAGTCTGACACTCTAAGCCTGTATATCACACTGGCTCTCTCTGTGTGATTGTGTGTGTGTTTGTATAATATCATCCAACAGCACTTCATGTAAGATGGCTCTGGATCCCTTTAAGGATTTCGTTAATCGCAAAAATAATACATACATAACTGTGATTAACAAACAGAGCATTTAAAAAAAATTTAGGTTGCAAAATGCTTCAGCCTTCACCTTCATCAGCTTCTCCAATAAAAATGTTTGTGTGTGATTGCATACATGCAAACACATATATCACTAAATCTTACTAAACCTCATGTTCTGTAGGGTTTGGCATTCTCTGGCCTTGCAGGGGGCTGTTTTAGAAATACAGAAAAACACTGCGGCTTAGAATTCCCCCCACCCTGCCTCCGAGTTGTCTTTTCTTCCAGGCGGGTTTCTGCCTGCATGGTGGTGGCAGCCTTTGGTAATTCCTTTTTGGAGAACCCGGAGAGAAAAGGGGACTCCATGTACTGCAAGGTCCCTATATGCTTTAATTGGAAAGGAAGTCCAATTTTTTACTTATAGTGACTGCAAGAACCAAGGTAAAAGAAAAGTAAGAGGCCTCCTATGTGCTTTTTAATGATGTTCTATGTTTCCAGGGAAGGGTGAGGGTGGACACAATTTTATCCTTTGACTCAGCTGGCAATGAAAGACAGTAAAATTCATTTTTAAAGGTCACACAGTTGATATGTCTCCTCCGATATTAACATCGTTTGGTTCTTAGATCCGTCTGCTCTTTATTCTTCAGCGGTGGGCAGACAGCAGAGGATCGAATGTCGTGTGGGTCAGAGAGGGGTCTGTCAGGAGATTGAAGAGATAAAATGGGTGACATTTGGCAATTGGCACTGGCAGGAGCAGGTCAAGGAACTGACTTTTTGCACGAGGCAAGATGGACTCATCACTGAGGCAGGGCCTTCAGGTGGGCCCTTGGGGATGCAGTTTAGGGGCAGCAGCAAATACATTAGAGTTTTGCTCAAAATGTACTGCTGTCGCTAGAAGCTGCTTAATCACATTGACTCCAGGAACAGTGATGGAGTTGAAGTAAGTTCAAGAGATGTGTCTAGTCAGAAACTCCCCTTTCCTTTCTGGGTAGAGGCAGATTTAAGGCATTGTCACCGGTTCCCCTGCACTGGCT